TAAACTGAATCAAATGATAGAATCAATTTGCATTTTATGAAGAAACTCTTGCTCAAAAATAAGTCACACTTTTTCCTTCTTTCGTCAATTACCTACTACAGACTTGGGCGCCGTCTCTCAGTGACTCTTATGCTGATAATCGCTCTCCTAAGTCAAGTTGTGTTGCTTAACATTAAGTTGGAATTGTATAATGCATGCCGAAAGATGAACAGCCCTCAAGGTCTGTGAATTTTTGAATTACGACCATTGATTATTTAAAAATGGTATTTCATATCCAGGTTGGCGTTCAATACTCGCTCATTTAACATACGTATGTGGAGCGATATCATCTACTGTATTGATGGTTGTTCCAAGGGTGGTACGTTGAGAGAACGCCATAGTTTACCCGAACAATACTACTCTTTCAAAGATGATGAGGGAAGTTTTCAGATACTGATGGAACATGTGCCTACAACTCTGAGGTCCATAGTGCCTTTAGCGTTTGTTTTCAATAATATCACAGTTCTAATCCGTATCGGTATTCAGTTCATAGCAACGGTTAGTAAATTGTCAGCTACGTTTGTTAAGCTTTCGTTTCTGTCAAATGACGAAATGAATATATACTACAAAGATAGTGCTTCTGAAGATAAGACGGAAAATTTTGGAGCATATAGATGTCATTTGTTACCATGTATTCATAGAGATTCACAATGGTGAATCACATTTCTCATCAGTCAGTAGCTCGGATGAGGTAACTTAAAATTAATTATCAAAGGCTGCAATAGCCTTGCAAGTAGGAAACTAGTTCATGAAATAACATTGATTACATTTCTGGATACCCTGTGTATTTCACACCTTAGGTAGACGGCTGTAATAAACTCTTCTCAGAACGCAGACTGATTATGGTAGAGCGGTTACCAATTGATCGCAGCTATTTGCAGAACCGTCGATGTCGTTCCTTACTTAGTTCCCTTAGTGTTTAGTGCAGATAATCTAATTTTAAATTTTTAACGATTGCCTCAAGGCTGTCATTTGTCAGAAGAGCGAAGCAGTTCTATCCATTTCTCCTATACATGCACTCCATACATTTTCCCAAGCTCAAACTAATTTGTGTTTCATAATTGAATCAGCATTCCAGCATCTACCGACTGCATATCCGAACGCGGCTTTGATTTATTCCTTGGGCTACACATTGTTTGCGGCACCGTTTGCTCTTCTTCTCGATAACTCCAACCATCTGCCTATCAACACTGCAGAAATACCTGCATTCACGTAAGCAGTACTCAATGTTACCGCTTTCAGAACTTTTCTCCATTATCTTCATGCGCTTTCAGGCCTCCTCGAAGCAGATATCCCAAGAATATTGAGCCCAATGATACACCTTCAGAGCACTTCTCTGTTCGGATGATGTTGGAGGCATGTGCAGCTGCACAAGATGCTAAAATGCATGCAGTATACGATAGCCACTCTGATTGAAAGAGAAAAAACATGGAGAACTTTTATAACGTTAACATTATTGGAAATCTTCCTTTAATTTGATTAATTGTCATTTTAATAAATATATGTATGTTGCTGACAGTAATTTTTGCGTATTCCTTTTCCCTTATACACTCCTCTTATATACCTCCTGAAAAGGCAAATTCAGTAGTTTATCTGAGAATATGCTCCGTACAATATATTACTTACTTCTAAATGCAGAATTGTTTTAATAAAGAGTCTAGTAAACGTACGTTCGTATATGCAATTACAATCATGCAGTCCTTAAAAGGCAACGCCGGATGGCCCGCTCCATGCTTTAGCGCTTGAAGCATTTTCTTAAACTCGTTTTGTTCCGTTTCCCTAGGTGTATAGATGATTTTCATCCTCCATTTGTTCAACTTTGAGCACTACTTCGAACATGCGCACAAGAGTTCTTTAAAAGGAGCTGCTTGTTAACTTGCAGCTTTCTTCTGCGTCCAAATCAGAAATGAAGTATAGCTATTGTAGTATATATACAGTTTATATCGGCTTATTCGCAATCGCTCGTGTAAGCGGCTCTGCACTATTCAGGCTGCGTAGTTGGTCCGCTTGACAAAGAAATTACTTAGATACTTAGATGGTCTGTCTTCACTTGTCGTACAGGCCACAGCACTGTTTCCATCCGTTTCTCTCTCTCGCTAGCGTCATCCACGATGTTGGTATTGAACTACGGCGGCGACGTGCGAGGTCCGATCCATTACTCGTTACCAGCTTACCAGCTGAGAATTCAG